TATGTTCCAGAGTGGTGCCCTCTTTTGTTTTTTGTTGTTCCATTTAAAACTTGAAATTTGCTTAAGCAGATCGGTTATTGTCTCTGTTGGTTTTTAAAGGGATCCACCATTTTGAGAAACCGAGCACACCAGGGGTTCATAGATGAAGCAGACATTGAGCAACCCGCTTTCCCAGCCGGAGTCATCGATTCCGGGGTTCACAGAAGTCAACGGCAGGACATCTACTCAAACTTAGCGCACAGCAAAAACGGGGGGGGGGGGGGTTAGGCTGGGCCTTGCTCCATGAATGCCTGGACTGCATTTTTTGGGGAAGATCATGTTAGTGGGAAACAAACAGCTTGGATTTGTTATGATTAACCCACTCGGGATCTCAGACTAGACTTATTGCCCGTTTGCCCTGTTCAAGGGCCCTCTTGGGACAAACAAGCAAGTTCACTTGTTACAGGTCCAAGTTTGGGCCAGAAAAGCGAACACATTTTGAAGGCGCTCAAATTTATGTTTGCGGCACCCGTAATGCAGGTGGTTGGGACTCGTTAGTGGCTCCAGAACGCTTTTGGAAACAGAAGCTTTTTTTATCATGTCCGCTCACTGATTTTTGCATTATCCGGTCACAAAATGCAAATTGCAAGTTGTTTGGGTAGCATCATCTGACCTGTGTGAAGCAATGAACGCTGTTGAGGGGGATAGAAGATAGTGTTCCAAGTTGGCACGCTTAGGTGATCAGGAGCATTGTCACCACCCCATTGCACGTCGGAGTTGAAACACGTTTGTCGGGGGGGAGGGTCCCACCTTTTGTGAAATTCCGTTTGAAAAAAAGACGAGGAATGCGTACTGCTGCGTGCAGTTCATGGTGAAACGCGAGCGGATCCTGCAGAGGCCGCGCGGGGTTGGGGTTCGACGAAGGCCGAGGACGGGTGGTTTCAGTTCCTTCGGGGGGGGGGATGCAATTCCCACTAAACTGGCCGCGTGCTTCCTGAGTTGGGCTTGAAAGCTTTTTGGAAATTGGAAAGGCAACTTTAGGGCAAACAACAAGTTGTTGTGGTTCATTTAATGGTTTATGTCATTTATGTATTGATTCTCTTCGTTCCGTATTTTTTAGTTGCCAAGCTAGGAAGTGAGCCATCCACCCGGCCAAGCATGTTTTCCTGGAGCTTCCAGCCCGCCCTACCCCCGAGTGAGAGGCGGATCTGAGCCCCAAGGATTTTCCTGAAAACGTCATTCATCAATGGCCCAAGTCTTCCATTTTGTGTCTCCGGCTTGTGTTTGGCAGCTTAGGTTTACCCAGAACCTTCCGAAGGTGCCATGAAGGTAGATGTTCGCTTGCCCAGCGGAGCTGGTCTCTCTGTAGCAGTCTCACCAGAGGCGCCCATCAGCGAACTGAAGGCTACCGTGCAGCAGCATTTCAAGCGCCGCTTGAAGCTCGTTGCGAAAGGGCTGTGGAGAGTAGCCAGAAGTCGCCAGAAGATGTGGCCAAGCCGGAAACTTCAGTTTCGGCTCCACGCGCCCATGATACTGAGGCGCCTGGGCTATGGTCAAAGTTTTTCTGGCCTTTGGATTGGTGGTCTCGGCGGTGGTCTCCGCCAAACCTTTCTGAGCCCTTGGGTTCCATGAAGCTCTCTACGCTTGCATGTTGCTCCTCGTGGAGCTCTTGGCCTTGCCACAAGAATGATTCTTAGCCGCCCCCGAGCTTGCGTGAGAACGGAGATATCCAGCCCATGGAGACTTAACTCGTCCATTAGCAGAGTGGCTGATGCCACACTTCGAAACCAATGTCGACGGATGGGTGGCTTGCTTCGCCGTGTTGCGCATCGTGTTGGTTTGCTGGTGCATCTTCCTAGTTCTGCCCAAGACAGGCTACCAACGCGCCGTATCGAACAGCTACACGGGTGGAGCTGTGATTTACGTGTACTTTGCCGTCGTTGGGATTATGTACCAGCCCCATCACACCTGCCAAGGTACCATATTCTTTGTATTCTCCGCAATGTTTGCCGTCCCCTTTTTAGAGACGAACCCTCTGGCGGGGCGTTGGCTCCGGATTTTTTTGCTCCTGGACGTGCTGGTGCCATCTTACTTCTTCGCAGGCGTAAGTAAGCTAAGATACGAAGGGCTTTGGGGCAACATTTCCGGCCACTATGTGGCCGCAGCCGTGGTCTCGAACGTGAGATACGAGCTTCTCGCTGTTGGCTTAGATCGTTGGATGGCTTCTGCTCCAGCTATGTTGGGCTCGATTCCTTGGCCTTTCACATTGATGTCTTGGGGCAATCTCGTTATAGAAGTGGTTCTTCCGGTGCTTGTCATGTGGAGCGCCACTGCGGGCCCAAAGCAAGCAGCAGCGCTGTTGATCTTCTACCTCACAGCCATCTGTTTCCACGTGGCGATCTTTGTGGTGATGAATCCAAACTTCCTTCATCAGATGCTTCTCGTTTTCGCCAGCAAGCCCTTGTATATTGTTACGGCTTCCAAGTCCCACGAGTTCCAAGTTGCCACATCTCCGTCTCTTGGAGACCGCTTCAGGGGAATCTACGCCATGATCATGTGTTATGGTATCGCTCCGAGCTGAAGTCCGACTTAGCCCATCTCACGGGAGCGACGGCACCTCAAACCATGAGATGATCTTCCCGTTTCCCGAGTACGCCATGTTTGTCTTGCATGAAAACCCGAACTTCCCCTTGAGTGCTGGGATCCTGGTGGTTTGAGCATGCTGAGGGATGTCTGCCAGGGCTCGACCTGACAAGCCGGTCTCGAAGACTTTCTGGCGCGCGCTGGGAAAAAAGGATCTGGCGCCAACATAGGTTCGGCGTTATGGAACCGAGAAACTGTCACGGTGTTGGAACTGGGGTTCTCAAAAGCGGATTGTGTCTATATAGAGATGTCCAAGTGGATTCCGGCACACATTGGAGTGCCTTCCACAAAAGTTTCGGCACCCTTCTAGAAGCCGCTAAGTTTCTAAATTCATTTCCTTTTACTTATCAAGGTGTTTGGTCTTCGCAATTTAGCACTACGGTTTTGCAGCTTCGTGAAGCAACTCTTCCCAGGGTTGATCCTCTCCCCGGATCGGCGCCGGGCTCAGAGTGCAACTGCATCCAGATAAGACACTTGAAGCCTCCATCCATGTCTAGTTCCTATGGTTCCTTTCGTTTTTGAAGCAAAGGGCCCCCCGAATTCGGAACTCGGCACGCTCGTGGGAGTCGTCCAACTGTACCTAGCTGAACTTGTTTCACACGGGAGAGGCAGCATCAACATTCTGAGCGTGCTTTTGGGCGCCATGTTGAGCGTGGATGTATGCCTACCAAGTGGCAGATTTTGCTCTGTGATGCTCCCGCCAGGTGCCACTGTCACAGATCTGAGGGCTGCGGCTCAACAGCAGTTGGGGTGCTGCCTGCAGCTGGTCGCACATGGCCAGCCGCTGGACCCAACGTGTGCCTTGACGGAGGCGGGCGTGCGAGATGGGGATGCAATCCATGCTGTCGTGCAGCAGGTCCACATCAGTGCCGCGGACGGCGCATTTGCGCTGTATGTCCCGGGAGGCGGTGTGGTGACATGGGGCCTTGCCGAGTTTGGGGGTGACAGCAGGGAGGTTGAAAAGCAGCTGACGCGCGTTGAGCAGATCAAAGCAGCAAGCAGTGGTGCTTTTGCCGCGATTCGGCACAACGGCACTGTGGTGACTTGGGGCTGGCCAACGTTCGGCGGGGACAGCAGAGAGGTCGAACACCTGATACGCGTCTGCCAGATCCAAACAACCCAAGAATCTTTTGCTGCAATCAGGGATGATGGCACAGTTGTGACTTGGGGCGATGACAGATTTGGAGGAGACAGCAGCAAGGTAGTTGCGCAGCTGTCATGTGTCAAGGAGATCCAGGCAACTGATTGTGCTTTCGCTGCCATCAAGGATGATGGCACAGTCGTGGCTTGGGGTGATGCAGAATATGGTGGAGACAGCAGCCAGGTGCAAGAGCAGCTGACAGGTGTCCACCACATCCAAGCAACTGCCTATGGAGCTTTCGCCGCCATCCGGCAGGATGGTGCAGTTGTGACTTGGGGCGATCCAAGCTTTGGTGGTGACTGCAGCCAGGTACAAGGGCAGCTGAAAGGCATCCAGCATATCCAAGCAACTGAGAAGGCTTTTGCGGCCATCAATAGTGATGGCACCGTTGTGGCTTGGGGTGATGAAGGGTGTGGTGGAGACAGCAGCCAGATTGTTGAGCAGCTGACACGTGTGTGCCAGATCCAAGCAACCGAAGATGCTTTTGCTGCAATCAAGGGCGACGGCACTGTTGCGACTTGGGGAGAGGCAAGGCATGGTGGAGACAGCAGCCAAGTAGTTGAGCAGCTGTCATGTGTCAAGAAAGTCCAAGCAACTTGGCGTGCTTTTGCTGCCATCAAAAGTGATGGCGCCGTCGTATCTTGGGGCGATGCATTGTCTGGTGGAGACAGCAGCCAGGTTGTTAAACAGCTGTCAAGTGTCAGGGACATCCAAGCAACTCGCGGTGCCTTTGCTGCAATCAAGGATGATGGCACAGTCGTGGCTTGGGGTGATGCAGAATATGGTGGAGACAGCAGCCAGGTGCAAGAGCAGCTGACAGGTGTCCACCACATCCAAGCAACTGCCTTTGGAGCTTTTGCCGCTATCAGACAGGATGGTGCAGTTGTGACTTGGGGCGACGCAGCATATGGCGGAGACATCAGCCAGGTGCAAGAGCAGTTGACACATCTAAGCAACTGATGAAGCCTGTTTGCGTGTTTGCTGCTGTCAAGCATGCCACGCAGTTGTGACATGGGGCAATGGATTAGTACTGGATTGCAGCGGAGGCAGCAACGTCAAGCAGGATCGGATTGATTGCAGTGACATGCTGTGATTGCAACAAAAATCCAAAGCTTGTGACCCATGTCAAAGCAGAGCGCGAGATATCCCTCCAACGTAAACCAAGGTGAGAGGAAGGTAGAGACGGAACATATTTCGGCATCACAGTAACACGGAGTCAAATTCAAGCATCACATGGGTGCGTCAGGTCAGGCTCATTTGCAAACCCAACGTGTGCATGTGTGACCCAGATTTATGTTCTGCACCAGCCATGGCCGACCAAAGCCATTGCTCCCATTTCACCAGTTGACCCTCCAGAGGCAACTGCCCTTGACGAGGTTCCGCATGGAAGATTAGCAGGTGTTGCCCGGGGAATAAAAGAACCTGAGCCACCATCAAATCTGGAGGGATGAAGCCTTTCGTTCCTTCTGTTTTTCTTTCTTCTTTGGTGGCTTGTTTGGTTTCCTTTGGTTGGTTGGTGAACACCTACAGGGAAAATGCCGGGAAGCGTTTGCTGTCTGACGCGGGAACCAAAGACCCCCTGCCAGGAACGGCTTCCTTTGGATCGGCTTCGATCTTGTCCCGGGGAGGGGGGGGTGTTGGGGCACCCCATCCGCAGGCCAAAATCCTTCTACTGGCGAGGATGGCGATATTTCGGACTCACTGCAGAGTCCTATCACCGCCTCTTCCCCGTGGGCCGCCACTTGGAAAGTCTCGTTCGGCTTGTAACCAAAATAAGTCCGCCTCTGACCTTCTCTGGGATCTTTGTTGGCTGGGTTTAAGGGACGAATCGCAATGAGGGGATGATCACTTGCTCCCTTAGGGATCGCAAAATGGAGGTGTTCAATCACCAGTTGAGTTGTGTGTGGGGAACCCAACAACAAAGTTCCGCGCAAGTTTTTGGGCGAGTTTGCCCTCCCCCCTCTCCCCCCCCCAAAAAAAAAGCAACACAAAAACAACAAAACAAGCAAAGAGAACCCCTTAAAATGACCAGCGGTTCAAACATGATATTTTTGGTGAGGTTGTCCTGGCCACTTGAGCCACAATCAAAAACGGGGTGGATGAAGGTAAGGGACAGTCCCAACCCAAACTCGGCGAGGATATTTGCCCTTGTACTTCTTTCCCATGGACGTTTGGGTAGACCATTCTAAAACCCTCCCACCAATTAACATGGAAGAACCCGACAGGAGATCCCTCTAAAAGCAACATGGTCTTCCAGGACCAACCGAACGTCGAACGGTTCCATGTCAATTAGAGGAAGGGTGCCAGGTTTTGACTATGCCTCGCTAGTTCTCGGAACTTCAGACCGCCCAGAGAGTGCCTTCCGGGGCTTTTCCGCGCGCTTTGCAGGGCGCATTTTGGTTGGTGTCAGTCCAAAGCAAATCGGGCCAAATCGTTTTGCTTTTTTGCTTCATGCCGACCGGCCGGGGGCGCCTCAGACTCATTGACCGCAGGCCTTTTGCCTTTGAGTTTCCTTTTGGTTGAGTTCCCACTGGACCTATTTCCAGGTCCCTCAGGGGAGCGTGGCCTCACCCGTGAGGCCTCGTGAGCCCATAGGTGGTGACCTTCAATGGTCCGAAACCGCCCAATGTTGGGTGGTTGGGTGGTTAGTTGGTTGGCTGGCTGGCCGGTTGGTTGGTTGGTTGGGCGCAATTGCTGCCATTGCTTATATGTTTGAATCATTATAAGACTGACGGCGACACGTGCTCAGCGGTGCGGGCTTGGCAAAGCCATGATTCGTCAAAACTTCAGACTTGTTTCGGCTAATCCACTCACGAACGCCCGACTCGTCCCCACAAGTGAGTGTTTCAATCGTGAGGCCAGAAAGCAGGTGGGACTGTCTAAGCAAATCCATTGCCCAACGTAATGGTGAACCATTTGCAGGCGAACCATTTGAGTTGAAAAACACGAGCCGGTCAGAGCCTTAGAGCACGGAACAAAGCGCCATGGATGGTTTGGGGGTCGGGCGGAACATTCCATTGTTACGTCTCAGGAGTGGTCCGCGGCCTCGACGTGCCGCTCGCTTAGCTCGCTTAGCTTGCATCTAGCTTCGCTTTGGGGGTTTTTCCAGCCGAAAACGGAAAAACCTCCAAACCGGAGTCTGCGTTCTCTCTTCGATCTTTTCCCCTCAGGTTGCTTTTTTCCCCCAGGGAACTGGAATCCCCTTTGGATCATCACAGAAGCCGATGGAATCGCCCAGCTTCGCTGAGGCTGGGCCGAACCCCTGGGCAGCTCCTTGGCCTTGGGTCTCCTTTTTTTGTTCCCCCCGTTCTTTCTCCCTTCAGGTAACCCCGACTTGGACTTGAGCCCCTTCTCCTCATTGATAGATGGGAATCCAAGCCACCAATCCAGAACCAGTTGAGGGCTGATCATGCGGGGTCCCAGTCTCGCCAACATATCACCTGCAACTCCATGGTGATATGAGCGCGCCCCGAAATTGAATGCCTCCCTTTTTCGGATGGGGCTTCAAAAGGAAACCACACATTTTCAAGGGTGGAAAGGCCAATATCTTTAGTGAGCTTCCTTCTTGCATTTTTTGCATGGAACCCCTTCAAAGGCGCTCCCCACACAGATCCCAACCTGAGCATGGCCTTTGGGGCTCCATGATTTCTGTTTTTGGGGACTTCTCCGAACTTCCTCGAGCTGACTGACTTGCGGAACCAAAACTGACACATGAGGTTCGGAGCAAATATCTGGTTTCCAACAACCGACGCTTCTTGGGACCGAAAGAAGGGTGCCAGATGCTTTGCTCAATAGAAGTCCACTGAGCTGAACGGTTTTGCAAGACTCCAGGCCCTCATGAAAAGGCCAGCTCTCCCGGGCTCTCCCCTTGCATGATTGTTGAAAGGAGGGTGTCTGGTAGTCTATGGTCAATTTTGGCGGGGCGTGGGGAACTTATGAAAGTGTTTGCGAAGATGAAGCATTTTTCTTTGGGGGGGGGAGGACTCCAAGAAGGTCCGTGAAAGCATTGGTGTGATACATTGTGTGCCCCTAAGCCCCGCGAAGCCTCTTCTGTGGCCCAGCAAAGTTGACATTGGCGAGAAAATGCATAGAATTCCTTGCCAAATAGGACAAACAATTCAGCTCGAATTCAAACAACAACTAGTGGGGACAGGCTTCACAAGAGTATCGCACGCGGCTTGCGAGCATAAAGACACAGCCCATGCACAACACATCACTCACCGAGAAAACACTTGCATAGAAAAGCGAGGCCTACCATGGTGTCCCAGCCTCGTTAAATCGTGGGTTCCCACTTTGCGAAGCCTTGTGGTTGTAGTGCAGGCCATGGTGGTAGCATGCCAAAGGTCGGTGTGTAGAGTCAAATTGAGTCACCTTTCGGCGAAAGAAGCCTTGCACCGAGAGTGTTGTTTCCTTTTCTCAAGTTTCTCACGCCGGCTTTCTAGAAAGGATAAAAAGGATGGGCCGTTTTCGCAAAGCCTCCGAAAAAGAAGCCACCAAGCCAACCCACCAACAGTGGCGCGCGGGAGAGTCGCCAAGGTCAGAGAAACCATAGCGAGGTCAGCGCGTCATCGCTCCCCGCATAGATTCAACAAAGCGAGAGCCCAAGTACCAGAAGCGTTTTGGGCAAATTGTGCACGAAGCCACGCCTTCCACGAATTCTGGCCCCGCGAAGCCCCCAAAAGCCCCAAACCTCTAGAAAAGGAAATTCTCGGTTGTCCCAAGTCTCTTGTGATTTTGTCGGTTGCTCATTTGGTACTTCTCCAGCTGGCTAGTGGTGGAGCGTTTACATCGAGATTACTCCTGGCTGCCCAGAAACATCTCAACAAACCATACGGACCGCAGAACAACAGCGAGATGGCACAAACCGAACAGCCATCCCAGTAGATCCCAGCTACCATAGTAGCTAATCAAGCTGCAATTTTCCCCTTAGTTGTTTTTTGGGGGGTGGGTTTCTGAGTTTCGTGATATTTCCTATTCAGAATTGGATCGCTTCGTCTAAACTTCAGGCTGGCCATGTACATTTGGCACGTCATGTTCGGGGAGCCCTTGCGACTTCCTCGGCGGCAACGAGACCCACGCTTGCCGCTGTTCATGAAGATCCAAAACATCGAGGCGATCTTCGGGGCCTGGTGCTTGCTGCCTGAGTATGTGTGTGTGCGTGTGTGTGTGTGTGTGCGCGCGTGTGTTTGTTTGTTTGTTTGTTTGCTTGCTTGCTTGCTTGCTTGCTTGCTTGCTTGCTTGCTTGCTTGCTTGCTTGCTTGCTTGCTTGCTTGCTTGCTTGCTTGCTTGCTTGCTTGCTTGCTTGCTTGCTTGCTTGCTTGCTTGCTTGCTTGCTTGCTTGTGTGTTTGTGGCTGTTTGATTGGTTGTGTTTGCTTACATTGTTTGTTTGTTTGTTTGTTTGTGTTGTTTTGTTTGTTTGTTTGTTTGATTGATTGATTGATTGATTGATTGATTGATTGATTGATTGATTGATTGATTGATTGATTGATTGTTGTTTGTTTGTTTGTTTGTTTTGTTTTTTGTTTGTTTGTTTGTTGGTTGGTTGGTTTGTTTGTTTGTGTTTTTTTGTTTGCTTCTGTTTGTTTGTTTGTTTGCTTGTTTGTTTGCGTGTCTGCGTTTGTGCTTGTGTGTGTGTGCGCGTGCGAGCGTGCGAGCATGCGCGTGTGTGCGTGCGTGTGCGTGTGCGTGTGCGTGTGCGTGTGCGTGTGCGTGTGGGTGTGGGTGTGGGTGTGGGTGTGGGTGTGGGTGTGGGTGTGTGTGCGTCGGTGTGTTTGTGTTTGTGTGTGTGTGTTTGTGTTTGGCTTTGTGTGTGTTTTTGTGTGTGTGTTTTGGTGTCTGCTTGTGTGTGTGTGTGTGCGTGTGCTTTGCGTATGTTTTTCCCTCTGCTCCCGTTCCCGAGACCGAAAGAGACGCTCTTGACACGTAAGCCCCCCACCCCCCAAGTGGAAGAGCACGCCTCTACTCAAGGAGCTTGGGTAGCCTGGCTTATGGCTCCATCCTGTCTTTTTGCTACCTTCTTGGGTTTGGTTTTTGGCAACCAAGGGGCCAACCATTTTGGGAGGTTTGGCCCATCCCGTAGTCCCGCATTGTTATAAACGGTGTGTTTTGGACATGTACCCTAGGAGCACGTAGTTCCCCTCGATCCTTGTAGCAATGTTCACTCGCTGCTGTTCTGCAAGTTGACCGAAGGGTATGGGGCAGCCAAATGCTTGGCTCCAGCCTATACATGCTTTTGGAAAGGGCAAAATACCGAGGAACTCAAAGATCCCAGGGGGGCAGTTTTCAAAGGGGGCATACCAGCACCCCGGTTTTGCGCGGCTCCTTGCTACGTTATGCTACGTTCAGGTTTGGGAATTATTGGAATGCCGATGGTTTGGGCGATTTGGGTAGGAACAAGCGTCTGACCCTGGTACATAAAGTTCCATTTGATGAATGAATATTTGTTTTATTTCCCCTTGTTGCTTTTAAATCACTACATGTTTTTTTCCCTTGTCCAGCTGGCTGAAGCAAATGGAGGGCTGGGTTAGTGGGTTAATAACCATGGTTATATCTGGGGTACTGGGGAAGTCAGGTTATCACCCTGGGCATATAACCTACTTACTCAGTGGTTTGAACTCCCAAGTGGTTACAAAACAGCATCAGTGCTTCTCCGTCCGACCCTGAGACTGGCGAGGTGGAAGCTTTAGATGAAGAAGGTGAGTCCTCGCAGGAGGAGATGGCGCAGTTGGCGTATGCCGGCACCGGGGCCAAGCGGAACCCCGATCCCGAGCCCGTAAGTTTTTTGACCCCTTATGCCCCTGGCTCCAAAAGCCTTCAGTCCCGGAGGCCTTGAGAGAGCCGGTATGTGACATATGGGGCTTTAAGTATCGTCTGCCCAGCATGTTAGGGTCTTTGGGCTGGGAGGTTGGAATGTGCACGAAGCTGCGCACGGAGGTTGGATAATTTGGCATAAGTACCTCATTTGGATCAAAGATGACATGGTACTTTGTCTTTTGGGGCGATCCGCGTGATGATGAGACAATGGGAAGCTGACATGTTGCCGGGGTGTGTGTGTGTGTGCCACTGAACTGCCATTGAGTGCAAATAAGGCCAGACAACCTCCCAACTCCTAACCCTCTGGTGGGTTTTGTGGGGAGGAGGGGGGGGATTGCAGTCCATGAGCCACAATCAGAACCTGGGAAGGCAACATGTTGCACGCAGAACCGCATAACCGCATAACCCCGGAGGGCCTTTTCAAAGGCAGCCCTCTGTTGGCTCCGTTTGATTCAAAGTTGAACTTGGGTTGAAGCTTGGTAGACTGGGTTGGCAGTTTCAAAGCCATCAGTGAGGGTAGCTCCTTGACACCTGGCGCCCTTGACGAAACTAGCCATCAGCTTCAGCAGATATTCCCTTGCCAATTGGGCAGAGAAACTCCGGCCCAGCGGGCCTTTGATCCACTTCCATGATTGGCATTCTGTTGGAAAGCGGCAAAGCCCGCTTTAGGGAATGCGCCTTGGTTGCTTGTGGGGGTATAAAGCCCCAGAGAGGGCACTTCCACCCTTTTTTCTCCGGGCTCCAGGTAGCTTGATCGAGTCTGGCAGCAACTCCATCGCGGCAAGGCTCGGCAACCTCTTCGAGTGAAAAGCGACGCTCCTTTACGTCAGCTTCCTTGGGCATGGTGTTCTCCTGACATTGCTCCACTCGAGTGACGAGGCATCGCCTTCTGAAGATCTTTCCCCCCAAAAAAAACAACAACTCAAAAAAAAAATCATGTTGAAAGGGAGCTTCATTCGAAGCCCCGTTCCATCCAGTGAAGCCACAGGGTTTCGATCAAGGGCAGGAGGCATGAGACAACTTCCAAGGGACCTGCCACGAGTCAGTCGGAGAGCGGGAATCAAATGCAACATGGCCCTCACGTGGCGTCAGGACGACGTCAATTCAGAAATTATCCCACATTCATGGAATTGCATGGATCAAAAAAATATTGATTTATTCAGGCAAGTCAAACACATGGCTGCTACCAAGCACAACATTACCACATGTTGTCTTGCAATGTTGATCGCCTATTTGGTCTTCAGAACGAAATAAATAGCTTCAATACAGGGATATGTGTCACTTAATTGGCTTCAACAACCATAAATAAATAGCCTAAATACACAGATATATGTTACGTTGAGGTGGAACCAACACACCACCTGTCCCGCGCGTCGCGCGCGCTACAAGCCATGGGCCTTCCGTATTGGCTGGTTCCGTGCTTGGCTGGGGCCCTTAGTTCAGCAGACCAAGCCACCAGGTTTCATACGTCGCCCTGCGGCTCAAACCCGGTGTTCGTTTTCAGATTCGTTTCCTGCTTGGCGTTTCCAGGGGCCAGGAAACCGCACGTGTGATTATGAAGTTGTTGTTGTCTTTTTCATTACATGCAACCCATGCCAGGGTCGCCCGAGTTGGAAAACGTCAGGGCCGCCTTGCTTCAAGGGGAACCGGAGAAAATGCGACTCACGTGCCGTGGGCGTTTAGTCTTTTATAGACGCATCCATGCACAAACATGGAAGCGGGGTGGGGGAAAGGGGGTCCCGGGATCCTGGAAGACCATGTTCCTTTAGAATATTTTTTAAAATGGACCCGACGGGTTCCATGTAGTGGTCAACCCAAAGGAAGCCGGGCTGAGGCCTTGCGGTTTGCGTCGGGTTTCGCAGTGGTGGGCTATGTGCCGGACTACCGCTGGCCCGGCCTGGATTGGCACAAGGTGGGGCTCGGCGGTTCCAACGACTTGCTCCCTTTTGGGAAGACCACGTTAGCGGACTTTTTTTGGTCAATCCACTCAGGAAGTGAGACAAAATGTGCGTTGGATTCAACCAATTTAAGCTATACACACGATGCACAAGTAATTAAAGTACTGAGGTTAGTCAGCTTAAAACCCTGGGTATATGACCTACTACTTGATGAAAGCCCAAGAAGGCTTGGTTGTGGTGGGAAATGGGGTTTTAGGGCCACTATCTGTGCAACGGAACCCTGTAGCGTGATAGAGGGTGATAAAGTAGTCATAGGGGGTGGCCCTCTTCGGTATCACAGAAAGAGTTATTGTTCGCAGCCACGGTAGTAGTTGCATAAATCAAATGTTTGGATTTGTTGGTTTAAGGGATAGGTTGTATAAGACATATGGCTGTCATTTTTTCGGGCGCCCCCAAAATGGTGGTTGTCCTTTTGGTTTCTCCGTTGGATGCTGCTTCAATCATCAAACTGGCAGTTTCCCATATTTGTCCTTTGGTTTGGTAGGCTCCGAAGCCACTATACAGGGAACCTCAACCAACTAGCAAGGAATAGGCTTCTTCTCTAGGCTCTGAAAACACTATAGAAGGAATCTCAACCAACTCTCTTCTCCCCTCCCTGACTTCCTGGACTTTGCGGGGAGCTCCGAACTCCGAACTCCGAACGCGAGAGGCGGTGGACTTGACGACGCATTTGGTGCTCTTCTCCCTGGAGCCCACACTGGAGGGTCTGCAGAACACCGACGGATTGCGGAGCCTGCTGAAGAGTGGGCGCCAAGGGGCGAAGCCCAGGGAAGACAGGGGGGTGTGGTTTTTTGTGGCTGTGTCTGTTTGACATCTTTTCTCCTTCTAGTCAAGATAGCCACGAGGAAAACTGCATGTTTGGTTTCTCCCTATTTTGACCTCAGCTAGTCAAAGGCTAGCAATTCGTACAGGATTTCTTGTTCATATGTCGTTTTGTTTCTGGGCCTTTTCAGCAATTCCCCGCGAACAATTGCACATACAATCCGCAGCGACGTAAAAAGAAAGGGCGGACTTCCAACCTATTGGAAGACATCCAAGTAGTTGATATGACTGGCCAGCTATGGTTGGTGAAACCTCAGCAATTGGCCGAAGGCAGGTGCACTTGGAGGTGAAGTGATTAGCCCAAAGAGTGAACTTCCTGATGCATTCGGGTCATGTGAGGTTTCTGTTTCCATCTTCAAAAAAAGTGTTCTAATGGTGGGGTGATGTTGCTAGGGAATTCTGGATGTTTGACCCAAGAAAGTGATGTTATCATGGTGATTTGGGTGTTTGTCAGTGGCACGTTTCCTGCGAAGAGGGTCCACCATCGTGAGTATGGTCAACGCGTTCTGTCCCACTTTTCATGCGCGGATTGAACACCAGTTCCCGGGAGGTTCGGGTTCCATAATGGCTGCTCTTCGCCGCTTCCATTTGGCCAATAAGGCTTTTCCATACCTAGAAAAGGTCTGGTCTTTGGGGGGCTTCGAGCAATCTCGACCAAAGACTGTCACTTTCATTTTCCCGGAGACCCCGGTAAAAAGTCCCACGTGTCTAAGAAACCAGCAGGACATTATACAGGACATCCTCAATTGTGGTGCTTGGCGAATGTCCGCTGGGCTGCCTCGATCGGATCGGATCGGACTGAGGCAGTCGCCCTTGCAACCTGGCTAAACTCATGGACTGCTGGGAGGGTGGCAGGGGGCTATGGGGGGGCCGGGCTATCCCTGGATAAGCGTGGGACAAGCCCCCAATAAAACCGTATTGAGGGGTCAATAAGGAAGTTACGCCTCCCCTCCCCATACCCCCCCCATGGAAGGGTACATGACAAAAAACAAAGGCTTGGCCCCACACAGTAGAAGGCCCCCTTTCCCCCAGTGTGTTTTGTTTGCTTCCTTTTCAGAGTTGTTTGGAGGGGTCGCCTCTGAATTAACGTCAACTGTCAAGAAAGGGCCAAAACCCTCATTCTTTTTGATGGACATTTACTGTGGGAACTTGAACGTGACGATCCCTCTCCGACAAGAATGCGGTCTTCCAAAAGCTGTGGTGCACAAGCCCATTGCTGGTGGTCTGCGTTTTGGGCGTGTGTTACAAAACAGGACCCCCAAATGGTGGTTTGCTTTTCTTTCAAACAACAATCCCAAAAAGCGGTACCGAGCCTGAAGCAACACATCCATCTCTTTCATTTGCTTCAGAATGTTGTTTTGCGACCATGGGCGCATGAAAGTAGCCTTAAAAACAACAATGACAAAACGGGGGCCAATACGGCCCGGAATGGCATGAAAGTAGCCCAACCACGATTTTTTGCCAATGTTCGCGCAGTAGCCAATCGGGTGCTTTTGGGGAAACTGCTGCAGTTTGGAGCAGCGTTAAACTTGTGTGTGGGGTGCCTGGTTTTCCTGGCTGGTCCTCAGCAGGGAAGGGAACGACCCCTAACCATCCCCCATGGCTTCCTGTAAGGTCCAAAACCCTGGGTCATTCCCAGCAAGTTTCGGGGGCCGAGGCCAAAGGCCATGGAAGCCGCCAAGTCTCCACCCAAGCTGCTGGCCGGGGCCCCGTCATCCATCCGAAACCTTTGCGCTGGGAGTCTTTTCTCGGGAAGCGGAATGGACTTTGGGGTCCTGTGGTGGGTGCCTAAGTTCTGTAGGTGGTGGGTGCGGGTGTGGGTGTAATTGTAGGTTTGGGTGTTTGTGTGTGTGTGTTGTGCGTGCTTGATTGATTGCATTGCTCGCTTGCTTGCTTGCTTGCTTGCTTGCTTGCTCGCTCGTTCCCTGTTTGGTGGGGCGATGTTCAAAAACCAACCAGTGTGAACGCCGCATCAATAGGCGCCTGGTTGACTAGTAGCGGGGGGGGGTTCCCCTTATTGGGGGTTTCCCTTCGTGGGGGTTTCCCTTGGTGGGGCCGCCCCCGTTCTCCGCAGGTTAGTGTGGGAGGCGCCGGACGCTCCAAAGACTTTGCGGCGGTGGCAGCCAGCAAGAAGCACCGGAAACGAGCCCCGGCAGGGAGAGAAGACCAAGCCCGATTTGGACGAATCTGTGGGAGTGGTTTCTTTTGGAGGGTGTTTTTGCCCCTTATTTGGCGGTGTTTAAGACTTGGGGCGACTTGGGTAGAGAGCAAACGACACGCCCACATATATATATATATATATGTATACATACATTGCTCACTTCGGGTTTGATTCTAGAGGACCATACCAGTCAGAGGTGTGATTGTTGAAGGGCAACTTTCCGGTTTACTAAAAGACATACCGCATAATTTGTTTATCCAAGACGCGCTCTCTATTTTGTGCATCTCCTGAAAACAGAATGGCAAACAGCATGTTGAAGGTGGCATGTATTATTTTCAGCCAGGAGAGCTCCCTTGAGCATTGTATTGTGGGACCTGCTTTGTTACGACCTCCACCCCTTCCCCTTGGAACGATGCCCCGATGAAAACCTAAACTCAGGATTTGTTGCTGATCATAAAACTCTTTGTAAAAACTTGTTGTTTGCTTATAACAAGGTAATAAAAAAATCCTGAGTATTAACACGTACTAACAAACACAAAAAGTATAAAATTTGCCAACAGTTCTCTGGGAGAGTTTGGGGCCCTTTTGGTGTGGCAAGGGGGGGGGTCTGGGCTGGACTTGGACTTGCCGATTCAATGCTTTTGTTGTCAATACTTAATTTAGTGCCAAGACTTACCAATTCTGAATTGAGTATTGCTAATACTTTTTAGTACTGCTAATTCTAAGTTTAATATTGCCAAGACTTGCTCTTAGATTGCCAGTACTTATTTTAGTATTGCCAATACTTTCCCAGTGCTTTTTTTAGTGTGGCCAGTTCTAAATTTAGACATGGCTATGGCGTTGACCTTGGAATTTCACACCCGCAAGAAACAACATTGACATTAAACCGACCCTTGAAACAGTCAAATTAAAGATGATCATGGGCTCTTGTACCCTCTTGGTGTGACCGTGTGGCCTTGGTCTTGTAATAGGAGTATAATTTCATTCACTAGTTAAATAATATGACCTGGAAAGATAAAGTGGTTGATGATAAATCTTTTATTAGCTATTATCTGTCTTTTTGCTTACAATAACATCTTTCTTTGTTGGGTTTCTTATCTCCATGTAAATCCTAACAATAAAAGACGGGGTTATGATGGGTACGGTAATGAAAGCTGGAATTTCTTTAAGATTCATTCCTTACTGTCTTATTCTCTTCCTCGTCAATTGGATGGTTTCCTTCATTCCAATTGAGGACTAACATATGAATACAGCCAAGATAGAAGAATTCTCAGAGACCCATCTATCATTACCTTGTGTTATCTCCCTTCATCATAGTATCTCTCTATATCTCCATTATATTTCTATCTCTTGGTTGTATGCTTTCTTTAGGTTTAATATTTGGATCTCATGCATCATTTCATCTTTCATTTTCTATCATCATCACCAGTATTACCTTTAGGAACCTATCCAAGAATCATCAACACAGTGAAGATTAGGATGGTACGGATAGAAGAATCCATTATCCCATTCAGAATTTATTAGTGACAACTTGCCTTTCAGATACTAGAGAATTAGATGGAAGGGATAAAATATGAAGAATGCCATCATAAAACCATTCTATTCTTATAAGCATGAAATGGTTCTTGAAAATAATAAATTAGGAAGAAGAAAAGCAGTTAATAAAAGAGATGGCACATGATAAAGAGATGAAAGGAAAGGGACATGATGCAATAAGTCTAAAGAAAACACCACAAGAGAAATCACTTCATCCAAATATTCTCTTTATCTACATCTTGTGAATCATTTTCCTTTACCTTGTCTGGCTTGGAGATAATCCTTGAGGTGTATATATATATATATATAAAGTCGATGGTTTACGGGACAAAGTTGGAAACTTTAATTTCTAAATCTATGCCTTGTAGCTGGGAAGGGCTCAGACAAGCCACCCTTCAAAAGCAACAGGCTAAGGCTTTGATTTGATATTTGTTTGCCCGGATTGTTTGTCCATATTTTTCCAGGAAAAGCTTTTCTATGAAAGCGGTACGTAGGACAACAAATCGGTATTAAAGCGGGTCCCACATCGAAAAGGAATACCAATTGTGGAAAAACACTCAGATTCTCCTTTGGCGATTTGGATCTCTGGGATTTGAACCCCTTGCTCTTGTTTTGGGTGAATGGAAGCCAAAGTAAGCCGAATCCAAGTCATTTGTCCAAACTGCCGTTTGGACGTTTGGCCCCGTGAAGCTTCCATGGGCCATTGGCTAGTGTGGTTCCCCGATGCCCTTGTGCCGTCTTTTTTTTGGCCTTGCTTGCAAGGCCAGACAAGCCACAGAAACAATTGCATAGCCAACGGACATACAATATATTTCTGCGTGGACAGTGCAGATTTGTGGGCTGCCCAGGATAAGTCCTTCAAGAGGCCTTAGTGAGGATTACCCTGTGGCTGTCGAGGGCACCCCGCCCAACAGTCCTCACCCAATCTAATAGCTAAGATGCCTAGTGGAGGGAAACCAGCTTTTGCTTGGTGCCCTTTTTTGGGTGTCCCCCTGAAAACTATGAGAAATTAGATCCTATGGTTGTCAGGGGAACAACAAGGCACCCAGAAAGGAATCCGGGTTTTTCCCCTAATAGGCATCATAGTCTTGGCGGAGCCGAGGTTTAGTCAAACAGCTGCTGCACCTCCTGCAGGAGTTCCCGCTCCTCTCGGGCGTTGACTTTGATTGGCAGGCCATCGGGAGCCAGATTTTGCTTCCTCGGGTGCCCCGAAGAAACCGCTCTTCACGGTATCTTAACCAACCTCTAAACGCTCGTTTCTCTGGGGTGAATTTACGGTCCGAATGAGATCGCGGGTTGAAAGGAGTTGACGTGGGCTGCACGGGAAGGTCAACCCAAGACCCTCGGCTTCCCATCATCCATGTATCACCAGGTGTATCGCCCCCCCTCCCCCAGAAGAATGCAAGAGAAAGAGGAGACGGCCGGCCAGTTGTCCGAGTTACCCTCCAAAAATACCGGAGGTGCCACCCCATGCATGCAACGGAATCCGCGGTTGATTATGAAAGGGGATGCCCAATTTAGGCGGAACCGAACCCTTCTCTTTGCGAAAACGCGCCCCTAGTATTGCCACGAGGTTGATTAAGCAAACAAACAATCGACAATTCAACACACCAACATACGAACATCTAACGAGCTAATGGACGAACGAACGAACCACCCACTCGCCAACCAACCATCATCCGTCCATCCAACCATCCCAGACCAAGCGCTTGACCCACCAGCCCGCGCCATCCTCGCGAGGTGCCCAGCGCCGGCTCGGAGGATTGGCTAGGCCTGGGGAAGATGGCATTGATGCTGCGCACTGCCCTGGGCATCTCGGCTGGTGCGGTCTCCCACATGGGGGCTGATAAACTCACTTCCTGAGTTCATGGACTTGAAGCTTTTTGGGAAGAACGTTTTAGTGGCAAAAAACAAGTTCAGACTTTTGTTGGCCCATCCGCGCAGGAAGTGAGTCAACAGCTCCTCTGCATGGGGTGCCCATCTGGGAAAACCACAAAAAGAAAGACGGCTCAACCACTAAATGGGAAGAGCTACTCATGGTCAAAACCGGGTGCCAAACGGAATATTGACCAACCCCGCAACCCCTACATTCCAAGACTTCCATTTGCTGAAGTAAATATGTTTCTATTGCCCCTTGTTGGAATGAAACGAAATCTATCATCACTGGACATATTTGTATTTTTTCCGGTTATCCAAATGGACATGTAGGTAGGCAGAAATGGAAAAGAGTCCAGAACATATATTATGAATTTGTTGGTTGGTGTACTCTTTTGATGTGAGTGTTAGGGATTTGGACCCCGCAATTGTATCGCGCCTTGTTGGTTTCTTTGGGCATGAATCTGCAGAGGGCAACAGCGGGGCACACCCCATGTTGACATACCCAACCGTTGACTTACAAATTGACCCCGTACATCAGGCGGTTCTTGAATCTCTTAGGAACCCTGAGACGGTTTAGGGCACTCGCTGACTCAAACCCAGTGGCAGCTAGTGGATCTTGCCCGTTCTGTCGACTGTATTTGGATTTTCGGGTTCTCTCTTGAAATCCCATGGTCACCTCACTTGGCGGCTGTGCACGGAGACAGGAGGTGTCTCGAGGGGCTTCACCCAGTTCTATGTTTCCTGAATTTGCGGACCTATCCCTCAAGCAAAACAAGTGTTGTGTGGAGCATCCCTGATGAACCTGGGGGTCGCCTCAAAGGAAACCAGTTGGACGGTTTATAAGGCCCATTTTATTTCTCATCCCCTGCCTATCGCACCAAGAAAGGTTTCCCTTGAACCACCCGGTCCACTGAGCAGACGATCGCAGCGCTTCCCGATGCAAGGCACTCGAGGCGGAGAAGCGCCGGCGGCTTGGCTCTGACCCTTGGTCTCGCTGGTCTAAAGAGACCGCAGAACTTGCGGTCAGGGAATGGGAATGGGAATGAGAAATGGAATCAACCCGATAAACCATCCCCTTTGTTTTTTTTGTTTTCCAATTTTTGGGTTCCCATTATTAGTCATGGCTCAAAGAGGTGATCACCCTTTATTTCTGGCTCCTAAGGGGCAACTGAGATAAAACAGTAGCAGGCAGGGTTCCACAGTAGCGAGCAGGGTTCTACTTTTTGATTGCCCAAGGTAGATCTTAAACCCGGGGCGTTGGAACAATTAGCATGGGTTCTAGGGTACTAGAACGACATGTGTTATACTCGTGGGACAGCCGTGCGTGCAATTGTTTGGCTCTTGATGTTACACGGCTGTCATGAACCTCGTGGATGGACGATGGCCCATTTGTTGACTTAAGTCTCAGGCAAAAATCGTGCACCGGGCACACACCTAGAAACATACAACTCACACCACAATAATTACACAACAACCGCCCGCATGGGGGTTGATCAAAAGGTCCTTTGCACGGGATGATCGTTGGGGAAATCCATTGGAAACGATGAGATTTCAACCACTAAATGGGAAAAGTCACGAAAGGTGGCCTCAAGGAGGCTAGCTTGAGTTTGTCCTTGCGTTAGCAAGGCTAGTCTGAGGGGGTCTGGGGGTCGGCCGATCGGCTCGGCAAAACCAATGAAATTTCGGCCCCCCCATTCGACCCCCCCCCCTCCCCTGGCCCCCCTGCCTGATTGGCAGCTTCGCTCCTTTTTCCGGTCTTCTCGCCGCTCTTTTCGCCCGCTCGGTGCTGGTGGTACCTCAATTTTTGCACCACCAACTCCAGACTTTGTCTCGGGACGTTCCATTGTTTAGGGGAATCAGTTTACGCTATCCTACCTTCCGCGTCTCCCCTTCTCAAGTTACGCATGGGCATGTGGGGGCCGAACGGCATATTGACCAACCCCCGCATACAAAGACTTCCAGTTGCTGATTCGTTTTTCCACTGTTTGGCCTTAAATGGAAGATTTCGCCACTGGACATAATTTCGCATTTTTTCGAGGACCCGTATTCGCAAGAGACACGGCTGGCAGAACCCACTTAGCATGCCAGGTGTTGACCATGACCTTCCACGCCCACTCGGGGGCCATCCGGAGCTTCTCTCAGCTCAGCTTCAAGCCGCAGGAGAAGGAGATGCGCTCCTCGGAGTCCTAAAGGGCCGTATCACCAACTTGATGGGTTGTGTGTGTGTGTGTTGTTTTTCTCCGGGGGGGGGAAGAGCTTGAAGGTTGTTATTGTTGTCTTCAAGGCCGGGGGAGGAGTGGTGTTCACATAAAGGGGGCTCGATTTGATACAATGTTCGCTGGGGTTCAGCGGGAAATTGAAATGAGTGTGGTCTGCTCGGAGCCTTCAAAGAAGTGATCACGGCCACAGTCTTGCCCTGTTTGGAAGTTCACAGGGTTTGCTTTTGAACCTATTTTAGATTTGAGGTTCGCTTGGTATGAATTTTAACGCCTCCGGCTCAGGCCGCCGACATTACAGGCCTGCTTTCTTATTTGCGTCCCTTTGGAATTGTCCCCTTGCCCCCCTTGCCCTCTAAGATCTTTGCCCCCCTTTCCCTGTTGAGATCCTTTCTCCCTTTCCCCCCTAAGGCCTTCCCCCCCCCCCCCCCTGAGATCTTCTCCCTTTTCCTCCCTAAGATCTTTTCCCCCCTTTCCCCCTTGAGATCCTTTCCCCCCGTTCCCCCCTAAGGCCTTTTCCCCCCTGAGATCTTCTCCCCTTTCCTCCCTAAGATCTTTTCCCACCTTTCCCTGTTCTTCTCCCTTTTCCTCCCTAAGATGTGTTCCCCCCTTTCCCAGGTGATATCCCTCCCCCCCTTTCCCGATCTTTGCCCCCCATTTCCCTGTTGAGATCCTTTCAAGGCCTTCTCAGATCTTCTCCCTTTCCTCCCGAAGATCTTTTCCGATCCTTTCCTCCCTTTTCCCCCTAAGGCTTTTTCCCCCCCCTGAGATCTTCTCCCTTTTCCTCCCTAAGATCCTTTGCCCCCTTTCCCTGTTGAGATCCTTTCCCCCCTTCCCCCTAAGGCCTTTCTAGATCTTCTCCCTTTTCCTCCCTAAGATCTTTTCCCCCCTTCCCTGTTGAGATCCTTTCCCCCCTTTCCACCTAAGGCCTTTCCCCGCCCGAGATCTTCTCCCTTTTCCTCGCTAAGATCTTTTCCCCCTTTCCCGGTTGAGATCCTTTCCCCCCTTTCCCCCCTAAGGCCTTTGTCCCCTAAGATCTCTCCGGCACTCTCCCCCCCTAAGCAGGCGCTGATGCGGATGATGCAGGAAATACTGGCGATGTTGCACAGGAGATGCTAAGGATGCAACAACGGACCCGGGGGGAATCGACCACCCCAACGTTTTTACGCACAGCCCCCAGAAGAAAGGATTTAGAGGAACGTCTGGAAAATCACTGCGTGGACATCCCCCCCCCCACAATAGTCTGAAACCGTGCCTCTGGTTTCTTATGTCCAAAACACCGCCTGTTGTCGGCTTGGGCACCATTTGGTGACCTTTTGGACTGCTCAGTGTGCCCCATTTCTGTCGTGGCCTTAGGTTATCCTCGAGGACAGGGCTTGGGACCTTTCAGGTGAAAGAGGGTCAGCGAGAATCATTCCCACTGAGCTCCGAAATGTATCGACATGGCGCAGTGTTTGGCTCTTGGGTCCTTGACACCAATGAGATAATTGCTGTCTCTCGCCAAGGCTTCGTCGAGATATTCGATATGTGCCACGCCGCTCAGCAAGAACAATCTATTGCCCTGGTTCGGGGGGCACGGTATGGTGGACACTGGGGGTCTAGTTTGCAACCTCTGCTTGTTTTTAAGAAGGTAGTATGAGGTTTTTGGGCTGCCTGCAAAAATACTCCTGAGTGTGCTAGGCACCGGCGGGCCCCCACCGCCTGAAAGGATTGGGAATGCTTCCCCTCTTGGGGGGAAGGCCAGAAGATTGGGGGACGCCGCATCCCCTTCCCCTTCAACGCCGCATCCCCTTCCCTGGATGTTTTTCTCGCCGAAACAACTCTTGGTTAGACAAAATACTGCACCAGTGGGGATGGATGACACCCTATGAATAGTGGCTGATAAACCACCAATCCGCACAGATACTTGGCCCGTCCACAGTCAGTAATGTTAACTTTAGGTCCATTCGGATTGGTGCGGTTCTCCGGAGTGTTCCAACGTTAACAGCACTCTTGGCTGCGCAGGTCCCACCTCACTTACAAAAAGTGAGTCTTTCAGTTCTTACTCTGCTGCCTGCCTGAGGGGTACCTGAAACTCTTTTGATATCACCGCACTTCCACATGGGGGGGCGGGGGTGGGGAAGGGGCTTGTGTGCGTTTCCTGTGTTTCCCTTCAAAAACTCAAACGTATTGTTTTACTGAGTTCTCCAAGGCAAAATGACCGTTTAAGCTTTCTGGTTTCCTTTTTTTGTCATCCCATAAGGTGGACTCCTTGATTTCCAGGTCTCCTGGGTGGGATAGTTAGGGCTGACTTCCAGTTTCGGAAGGAAAGGATTTCTCATGGGAAGTTGGGTGGCGTTGCTGCGTTCCATTCGTTCTCGGGATGGGAGTCCCACTTTGGTATCACACCCGACGGGTCACTGGCCCTGTGCAGGCCCTGGGCTGCAATGGAGAACCGAGAACTCCCGTAAGGGAACAGGGTCTCTCTTTTTTTTTTAAAGGGCATCCAGCATCCCTTTTCCTTTTTCCATGGTTTTTACAGGGAACCCAAGCATTTCAGGACAGAGACTGGCTCTCGAGCTCGGACTAAGCGGGGGGGCCCTAAAAGGGGCACGCCCATGTCCAGAACCGTTTCACTTGCAGGCAATGACCTACACCATGATGGACGCCCACGGCCGTCACTCCAGCGACAAGGTCGACTCAGACGTCGTCCAGGCGCAATCGGGCCAGCTTGGCTCTGGGGTTTGGAGCAGCTCCGGGGTAAGCTCTCTTGCCCCTTTCATTCTGCCTCTTAGCCCGGATTTCTTCGACCTCTCACAAGATAGAGTGTGGTCAACGAGCGCTTTTGCCACGTTCAAACCTCACGTGCTGTCAAAACAGGCTGCAGGGGAAGGTGGGCAAAAGCCTTCGTTTGGTGATGTTGGGTAAAAGCCTTCGTTTATAAATGATGGCCCGGATCTAGGCAGAGCTTGCCAGATGAACTGGGTGCGCTCCCCAAAAAGTTCAGGATCCCCTCTAGAGCGGGACGCCCCAAGCAATGCCAGGCCCTTATTCTCCAAAAAGGGGAGTCCCCTGTTTGGAACCAAAAACCTTCGGCTTCCATGCGATGCGTTCACTCTGGCGCCTGGGGCGTCCCTTTCGACGGCATGGAATCCACGGGTCAACTCCAGAGGCCTGGCTGAGAACTGGGCTGCCGCCAGATCGCCTCACGCTGGGCTGCTGGGCACCAACCCGTTCTTTCCCTTTCCCTTTTTGGAGCCTCAAGTGGAGCTCGGTTCAATGGAATGCACCAGCATAATTGCTCAACGGGTGATTTGGGGATGTTTTTGAACTCCAGTGATCCCTGCTGGACATCACACATATAGGGGCTATCCTTGTCTGCTGTTTGGTTGGGTCTTTTGCCTTTTGAGAACCGCTGGTCTTGTTTTTTGGCAAACAAGGGGTTAAACGTGCCTTTTGGGAACCGCTTTATTTTTTTCAAACCAAGGGGTTTACCGTTTTGCACGGTGAAGCCATCCATGGGAGGCTCTTTGTCCAAACGGCTGAGGCATGCCCTTCTTCGGAGCGCCTCGGCCGCAAGCCGGGGGGAAACCGCCGTGGCCGCTTGAGCAGCCACGCGGAACTGGAAATTTTAGCATCGGTATGGGTCAAAATTCAGCCAGTGAACCGGAGGTTAGTCTTTGGTTCCCTTTACCAGGGTTTCATGTTGGGCACGCATTTTTGACCCATAGCCATAAATTTGAGGGATCCCGAAAAAATGTGCGCATGTGTGTGTGTGTGTGCTCATGAAGATCTAAGCCAGCCTGACCTCCTCCCCTGGCTTAAACCAGCCCCCAGCAACTCCCAACTGCCTCCCAATCAGAGCCAATAGGCAACCCCCGGGGCCAAGTGACACCAGCCCTAGGAACAAAAAAAAGCCCATGGTGCTCCAAGCGCTCAGCCGGGAGGCTTGCCCTGGACACTTAAGCAACGCGTGCAAGCACGAGAACTTGGCAAAGCAATGAGCAAGCTGGTTCCTACAGTTTGTTGAATTCCCCCTATATTTTGGGACATGCCCAAATTGGGGTTTCCTATTTGGGACTCCAAGCCGATGTCAAGGATCAAAGATTGCAGATTCCTGGCCGCTCAAAGAAGGTAGTGCCCTAATAGGTGCTATGTTTGGCTCCTGTCCCCACATCCCCAGGTGAAGAATGGCGCAACACCCATCTCCTTTTCGGACATCGTCTACAAGGACCGTCCGTAGCTGGAGGTCAAGGGAAAATGTGCCTACTACCATGCCTGATCCGCAGGGGCAAAGTTCGGACATGGATGATGATTCCAATTGTGCGGATTTGCGCAGACATGTAAGGACTTGCGTATGGCCAAACAAAGGCTGGAGCTTCAGTGCATTTGATACTTGGATGTTCATGCACTTGGTAAGGGGGGGGCTGTGCAATGAGGGCACAATCAACAAGATTGTTTTCCTTTCTGTTTGAATATGCTTTGCGACAACCCCAAAAGAGTCCCAAAGCAAGGCCATGCCCATATGTCAGCAAATACCTGCCTCGCTTGTGATATTGATCCCCGAGACCTCAAGCTAATCCTAAACTCACTGTTTGGATTTATGGACCTTGAACTTTTTGGGACCATTTCAGAGGCAAAAAAAGTTTAGACCCTTTTGTGGCCAGTTTGACCGTCCACTCCGGGAGTGAGTGAAGAAAACAGGCGACCAGGTCTGTGTTGACACACTGGATTCCCAGGCCCCACCTTTGGCTTGGGGTTCCCTTTTTGGATTCTTTGGCAGCTTTTCGTGGAGGTCTCATCCTTACTTTTGTGAGCTGAGCATGGTTTATGCTCATTTTTTTGTTTTTTAATAATCAGACTCCCTGGTACCGCCAAGTCTGCGAGGAGACGGCGTTGCTGGGGGACCCTGCGCGCGACAAGTCTGAGGCACGAAGCGCCTGCCTCACGCAGTGGGTTGCTTCCTTTGCGCAACATGTTCAACGGGTTTTTGGAGGGGGGAAGGGCGAAAGCCCTTTCAACCAAAACGAGAGTGCCGCTTTTTGGATTGAAAGTACCTGGTTCTTTTAGGATTCAGGTTGCCTTCAAGTGGTGCTTTGGTTTTGTGACTTGGGGATGTGAACCTCTTCCAGGCATACCGGGCATAATGGCTCGGATCCGGGCTTCGCGGAAGCAACAGGATGGCTTCTTCTTCGTGAACGTGGCCAGTGCAAAGAAGAAGCTTGGCAGGCGTATTACAACTTTGCTTTTCGGCGTCGTTTCTGTTTCGGTCAATTAAAGTTCAGGTTTTGAAGGGCTCTCAAAAGTACTACTGGGACATGTTTTGTTTGTAGCCTTAAAGGGTGATTTTGTGAATGTTGTTTAGTGGGCCGATAATTCGGCAAGTAGGCAGCAGTCCTAGAGGCCCAATTGATAAAGACAAAGTGCGCATTTTCGGAGCTCGCGCGCTTTGTTCTGCAATTTCGCGCAACTCGGGCGCAAATCCGCGCAACTCGGGCGCAAATCCGCGCAACCGAGCGCAATTTCAACAACTGCCCAAATTCTGGTCACTACACTAGCGCCAAGTCGTTTGCTCCCAGAAACGTCTCGGATGTTTTTTTGTTGCCAAAAGGATTCGGGCACATATCGTGTGTATCAATTTTGCCTCCAGCATGGTTGTCCAATGAGCGGTGTGAACACTTCACCGAGGCTTCGCGATTCGGGGCTAAGCAGGCTGAAACCGGAGTCTTCGCGAAGCGTTTCCCCAACAAATGCTGCTCAAATGTAAACTCAAATGAATCTCTTGTCGCAGTTATAGCCGTGGTTCTAACCAACTTACTCTCAGGGCACACGGCGCGGTGAGTATTTTTGCTGTGCGGGCCTTGCTGCGTAGGGCTGGAGGAGTGAGACACGAAATCTCCCCCATGACTCATGCCCCTTTTTTTTGCGAACCCCGAAACCCTCCTTTCCGACACCCCGCAAGCGATTCCCCAAGCACCAGCTCCGAGGAAGGTTAGCTTCGCGGAGGACCAGGGCTTGGTGTCCTGGCAGCTTCTTCACCGCGGGGTTTTGGCCGGACACCCCCCCCTCCCCACAAACCCATGAAAGCCGATGACCTCCATTTGCTGAAGAGAAGTGGTTTATTTAATCCCTGGTTGGTTTTGAAGGGAATTAATTTCACTCCTGGACATATGTTTTTCCCCTGGGACTTAGGCAAATGGAAGATGAGGATTCTTGAGATCAGGCACTAGAACCCCCGTTTTTTCGTTTTTTTTTTTTTTTTTTTTTTTTGTGGGGGGGGAGTTTAAGTCAGCTAAGCTCACGCTCTCTTTTTGTTCTTTGCATTTTTTTTGTGGGGGGATGGGTTCCTTTAAAGTACGCCAAACACCCATTC